AGACCTGCTACCGCTTTTATGTAAGGGGGTTATGAACGATTCCTTCCATACAGTTGGAAAAACGCCCTCTTTAAGAGACAAATTAAATAAGGCTGTTAACGGCTCATAGAGATAACACTATGTAACAAGGTTTTTGTCCCTGGGTTGTAATTGTTATTTCCTAGTCAGTTAGGTCCCAAAAGTATAGAAAACAGCTATTGTCGCAAGATAACTTTGCTTTTGTTTTTGGGGATTGATTAGAGAAAGTGACTCGCAGTTTAAACGCAAATGTCGAAAAACCACCCGCTTCTGATTTACTTTTATGTTTTTGGTTTTCTGAAGTTTTAATAAAATTTAGTTTTGATTTATATGTGCTGTTCTGTATGATTTTCTCTGTAGTGAAAGACTCAAACACGTTTTTCTCATAATTTTAGCATATTTTAATGAATCACATTGTCCTGGTCACACAAGCAAAGTTTCCGAGGAATATTAGGTGGTTTCCATACTTTTAAGGCATAACAGACTAGGAAATAACAATTACATCCCAAGGACTGAGAAATTTTTTTTTTTGTTACTTAGTGTAATCAGCACAATTTCTAAGAAAACAAGTGGGAATCTGGTCAGGACCATAACTAAAAGACTGCTTTAAGGACTTCAGGTAAACTAAAACATCATCGGGAGATATTATAGGGTTATGTATTGAGTTAATTGGACTTAGGTAAAGCGATAGTCTCAAGTTTACTGGTATAGTGAATAATATGATTTAAAGGTCGCATTAAAATTTATGGTTGTGTCTAAAGTACAGCATTTTATTATCGATTTTATATTGCTTTCCAACAAAGAAACATACATACGTGAAAAACCAATAATAGAAATGCTCAACTCTAGACATAGCTTTATTTTTAATCCAACCTTTATATATAAAGTGAGCTTTAAAGTTGAAGGTTACTTCAGAAAACGGCCGGACTTAGTTTAAAAGGATAGTCAAAGTATGCTTGGGAGTTAGTGGAATAATTGGATTTAAAAAACTGAGCGAACATGTTAGAAATTGTTTGATTATCACCAGAGACGGTATTTTGATACTTCATGGCGGAAGGAAACCCCCGTACATTTCGCTTGGAGTTTACGAAATCATAAAATGATAGGCGCTTAAAATCGTGTACATATGCTTCTGAGAACCATGGCTTGATAATCAAAGAAATCGGCAAACAACCACATCCACCGCCCATATACCGAGTGTCCCGGACCACCCGTCCACCCCTACCTAAAAGTGAGGAAAATGCTGTTATTGGAAAATGGAAAAATATGAACTACCAAGTCGGGGATGCTCTATTTTTTGGTCGTATTACCGACTTACGGTTTCGACCGGGAGCGGGTAAAACAGAACGGAAGTCCATTATTTTAACCGATCCGAAGTCCCAGTTAAAAAATTGGACTTCCCCGGTCCATCCACACGTTGAATATTTGTTAATTTTTGACTTTGATGTCGTCTGCAAATAGTAATTTTATCAAACAGGAGTCAGTTGGAGCAGACAATTCATACACCAAATGAAAGTAGATATAATGCCCTTTTACCAGATATATAAATCAAATTGGAGGAGATCGAGCAGGAAAAGTCACACTCCACGAAACAAGCACAATATGATTAAATTTTAATAAACATAACATGCACAGTGAATTTTTCAAAAACACAAATGGTTAAAGCCACAATTGTTACAGTCAACAGTAATTGTTAAATTTGTTAAAATAATCGCACTTCAAACTTTTTATATAGTACGAAAATCACATCCGTGTTGCACTGTAGTTCAATATAATACAATTCTAGTACAAAATAAAGCCAAAACTACAAAGTTTACATCGACAGATAAAGGACCCAGGGTTAAATTGCGGTCATAAATTTATAATTTCTTTTCTGGTTAGACCATCTGAAATACAGTCCGCCTGTTAAAAATTTTGAAACGGAAAAACGGAAAATTGGACTTTTGGCCGCAGAGAGTGCTTATTTCAGCCATAGTGCATAATAGAAACTAAAACAAATTTTTTTCTAATGAACTATTTTTAATCGGCATAGCTATGAAATATGACACTTTTGCAGCAAATACATATCAAAGTATATATGTACATTAGGGTGGTCCAAAAAAGCATGCGAAAAAGTAAAGTCGGAATTTTTATGCTCTTACCCCTATACCGAAAAAATATACCCTTATTTTTTTTTTTGAAATCAAAAAATATTTAGAGGTCACTCAAAGCGCCCAAAGTTCTCCATGTATTTTATATGGGGGAAAAACAACTTTTCGTAGAAATGGCATAGATTAGTTAAAAATCAATATTTTCCTAGCAGAAAACTCTGTTTATCTGCAGGAGATTCCCAATAATAATACCCAATTGTTTATTTAATCATTTAATTTATAAGATAAGATTATCGATATCCTAGTGAATAAAAAACTTGCGCATCCCCCTTTAGCAAATGTTTACCGGACATTTACGTTGCTAAGTGCAGGTATTTTGATATTTATCCAAGATACCATAAACCTGAACTTTGAAATTACTTTTCGAACGATCATTCATTTTTTGCATTGCTTCCGATATGTTTTCCAAAAATCGTTTATCATCAGACTGAATTTTATTTTCATTATCCTGATATTTGCTTTTTTTTGTTGCTGGTGCGTCTTTTGCTGTTGTTGCTGATCGTGAATCTGTTATTGCTTGCATTGTTTCCATTGCACTAACTGCTACTGCCCATTCTTCGTCTGAAATCGGCATAAAATTGTCCTGCTCATTGTTGTTAACATTGTCATGGTTGACTATAAATTGGTGCTGAGTTGCCTCTGTTGTTGCTATAGCTGCTGCTTCTAATGTTGTTGCTGCTCGTGGCTCTGTTGCTTCTGAACGAGTTACTGTTGCTGCTGCTGACTCTTTATTGTTGTTTACTATTTCAGTATTCCCTAAACATGAGCGCTTTGGCGATATAAAGAAGTAGTCCTTGATTGAGCCCTTAGTCTTTACATTCGTATTTGTAATCGCAGTGGTACTGGTTAAGTGCTTACGCTTGCGCCATGTTTGGATATTTTTATTGACTAGTACTTCTCCTTTTGTAGCTTCTCTTCTTAGGAATGGTTCTAGAAATGTTAGATGCTCAGCCAAATAGTAAGGTTGGATATTTGGATTGGCTTTGCATTTTTCGATGTATCTTTTATAGCCAGTTCGTATAGTTTTCCAGGACTCCTTGCACTCAGATACTAAAAAAAGTACAAATTGCATGAGGTGTTGTACAAACAAGAAAAATTCTTTTCAAAAGTATTTTGGAGGACCATTTTTAATAAAATCTTTCAGGAGGGGTTTATTTTTTAACCAGACTGTCTCCTTAGAAGCCATATTAACTCCTCGCAATCTCAGTAGAATAAACTATCAACAAATATTAGAAGGTCTTGGAAAGTAGTTCGGAAGTTATTTCGAAAGTAATTATAGTTCAATATGGATAAACAGATAGGCTAAGTACATAGCCAGCTAACTATTGGAAATATGTATGTATGTAAAGATATTCCTCCGTAATGCAAGTTTCGTTCGCTACCAGCGTGAGCAGCCAACCGCTTTTGGCATAAAGCCTGGTTTTCATTAGGTCCTATTTGTCAAAGTTGTCAAAATAATGAAAACGCGTTGTCATCTGGTGTCATTTGCGTTTGTTGTCATATGTCACCACGCACTGTCATATAAAATGGCAGCGCAGTGAAAACGGGTTAACAGAAATGCGAAAATAATATCCACGTAATCGGGTAATTTTTTTTTCACATTTCTATCAAATACTCTTCTGTTACAAGTGTCGATATATTTGGAAAATTTGGTAAAAAATGTTGCGTAAAAAATCTCGATCAAAACACATTAAACTTTTGTAAAGGTTTGGTCAAGGCGAATTTATATAAGGTGGTGTTACTAGCTCAGCTGATTTTGTGTATGTGTTTCGCCGCACGGCTTCTGATATCAAATTGAAAAATTTTGTTTGAATTTCTACACACACTCTTACAGATTTTGACAGTTTATGCCGCCAAAGCAAAAACAAAATACATGTAAATTTTTGTTTTTGTACTCCTGCTATAACCTTATATTAATTCGCCTTGGGTTTGGTAAAGAATTTTTGTTGAAAAATTTCGACAAATACATATCGTCACCTTAATTCACAAAGGCCGCAAACAACAAATTTTTTATTTTACAGGAGAAGCAAAAAACACTATTCAATGAATATTAAAAACAGGTAGGGCTTTTTAAACAGATGCATATAACTTCGTTGTTTTGGTACTAAAGCTGAGATCCCACGATTGCCGCAATACACCAATTATTGCCTCATTTTATCCCCCAATCGTGTGATTTCCTAATAAATTGACTCATGCGGCAATAGAGGCCGGTTGCGGCAAATTTAAAAATTTCGGCAATACTTATTGTTTTCTTGTGCGGCAATTGAAGTGAACAATACACAACAATATTTAGGCTGTTTATTAATAATTTACTTTTTTGCTTCCTTGTGTGTCCAAAAATCACTGAAATGAATATTCTTGTTTTCGGAAGTAACATAACTTTTAATTTAATTTGTATTCAAATTATAATTTTTCTTTAAGCTTTAACATGCAGTCCGATGATGGAATCTTTGCTGCTATATATACCACCACAAGAAAAACTGAGCCGAGAAGAATACGAAAGATATTTTACGGCACCAATTGGCGAACTGCCATGACAGCATAAATTTGTTTAAAAAAAAAAACAGTTCAATACAGCCCGGCAGAACCTCAAAGTTTTGACCAGTTTTGACTATTTTTCTTTTACTTGTTTGGTGTTCATTATTTTTCCATAAAAGTACAGTGAAACCCGCTTAATAAATATAAATATTTTAATGTAGTCTAAAGAAAATCCCTCTTTTAAGTACCTCCCCGCTTATTTACCCAACCCGCCTAAGCAACTAAATTTTTCGTATCCCATTTACCATTTTACTTATAATTTTCCCCTTTTAAAAACCCAACGGAACTTTTAAGCCACTTGAAACTTGCATATTATTGCACTCAAATTGAATGAGCTATAAACACTTCTGAGAAAAAAGTTTGAAATTTTGATAAAAAATTGACGAATTTTCTTTTTAGTGTTCTAAAAAATTTTGAGCTTAGGTTTATATGGTATTTGTTAGGGAATGAACTGTTTTAATTGAAAATGTTAAAAATTATTGAATAAGCATAACATCATTTTGAATTTGGTCCGAATTATAGATATGTCCAACACTGTACATATAAATATGTATAATCAATAACTTTAAAGAATTGATTTCTTGTAAAAATGACATAACATTGCTTTATCGATTTTAATTATAAAGTTTTTGTTTATGTGTTTATGGGTTTAAATAGTCCTACGTACACTTCATTAAATGTTCATGTTAAGCGGGTTCTTTTAAGTACCCAACCCGTCTAAGTACCTCAAAAAGCTGAAATTTTTCGTAAGGTACTTAAGCGGATTTTGCTGTATAGGTCATTGTCTAACAAAAACAACATAAATCCAAATTGCAACCCTTATTCAAAAATTATAAAAATTTCTTAAACTTTTGAACACAATTCCACGGTTTTAAATTTGGATGTCTAGAAGAAAAAATTGTTATTCAGTTTTATAGCTCATTAAAATTTAATACAATAAGGTGCAAGTTTGAAGTTGCTAAAAGATCCTGTTGATTTTTTATAATTTTTTTAGCTGACGGTATTATGCACCTTCTTCTATGTAAATTACTTTGTAAACTGCATAACAAAATTTTTTCTACAAATCCAAATAAAAAACCATTGAATTGTGATCAAAAGTTTATAATTTTTGTATAAAGTCTGAAATTGGGATTTACGTGGTTTTGCTAGACAACGAGCTATTGTTTTATAGGAAAAAATCAACATTAAACAAACAGAAGAAAAAAGTCAAGAAATCGTTCCAAACATAAATTATATAAATTCACAACTTTCATTTAAACATACACACATAATTATTTTGTACCAATTTTACTTGTAATTAATAAAAAAATCTCTAGTTAACAAAGTCTTGCAACTTGAACTCCACATAGCACGTTGCAGTTATCGTCGAAAAATAAAAAACAAAAACTGTACACACAAACTTCTAAATAAATGCATCAGCTTTCATTGCACTCAAGTTTTTGCTTCTTTGCTTTCAAACAACAACAAATATGTATAAAATGAGCCCACATTGCCGCATGCTCGAACAATGGTGTGATAAGTTTGGGACAATTATTGTCACTATATTGCGGCAATCAAAATTGTATAAAAAGAGGCAACCGTGTGACTGTACAGAATTTGATTGGGACAATTTTTTTGATTGTGCTCCAATACAGCACAATACAAATTGTTCCAGATTGGTGCATTTGCGGCAATCGTGTGATCTCAGCTTAAGACTTCAGTGCCAAAATGTAAGTGTGCACCTTGTTCTAATATAATATTTACAATTAGTTTCATAAACATTAATTATTGATGAAAATATAGTTCATTCTGTAACATAAACTATATACTTCAAAGTTTCATGCTTGATGTAAAGTTCACAAGAATTCAAACAATTTTCATTAAAATTTCAAAATTTTTATTCAGAATTTCTAGACAATTTTCGAGTATGCAGATTTGTAGCCGATTCAATTTAGCTTTATATAAAGTGTGAAACCTTAATTTATCTGTTTTATGTTATAGAATGAACTATATTTGCATAAGAAATTAATAAAAAAAAATTGTATGAAAATAATTGTGAATATTATATTAGAACAATGTGTACATTTAAATTTGACGACGACCGTACATGTCTACAAATGTTTTCAATTTTTAGTCGTCAATTTTTGATAAAAATGTTTCCGAATTTTTATGCAATATTAAAAAAAAAATTACTACGTTTTCTTCTTCTTTACCAAACTTTTCGTCCTGCAATTTTTGGTAGATAAATATATGTATTTTTAATTGGTAGTTAAATTCGGTAGAGAATTTTTGTTCGAAAATCTTGTATATATATTTTTTTAATTTTTTAGTAAAAACCTAGTAGGCCTAAATATTTTGAATTGCTTTGGAAATATATTTTTTAATATTAAAAAGAAATTTTGATCTGTTTTTCTCTTTTTCTTTACCCATCAATTATATAAATATTATAAACTTTTACGGTCATTTTATTGACTTGTCATTATTCCTTCCTATGCAATGGTTTAGAGCTAATGTATCAAGCCGTTCAGAAGACGCATAATAGGCGGCACACACGGTGCGTCTGACTCGCGAGTCATTTGAGTACGTGTTGACTCGACTTCGACTACACACAGTTGAGTCATTTAGAGTCATTCCAGGTATCATGTCGGTGTAACTAACACATATTTATTTTCACAAATACATCCAAACCGACTCGCGAGTCAGACGCACTGTGTATGCCGCCTATAACGATAACTGATTTTGTTAGCAACGGTGGGGCCCACCTGTTGCCCTTCTGAACCTTCCCATTTATTCCAATAGTTTTCCCGAAGAGAGTAATTGACATTCGGAGGGTCAAAATAGTATATATAATTTTTTAATTATTATGATTTTTTTAAATTTTTAAATACATGAGAAACTAACAAATATTGTCCAATTCAACGTCAAGAACTTTGCCTGATTCAAATCAAATACATTCATCAAAAAGATAAATATACCACAGCGTAGAGGAATAAATTCTCTACATAATTGCAGTGGGAAGTACTGCGCCGCGGCATATCACTTTCGCGTAATCGATTGGTCGATACAATGATTTTTTTTAAGAAATATAATGTTACTCATACGCCATGTACCTACGAGTATCCAAGCGTTTGATCAAACGCAAAGGAAGACCTCTGCAAATATGTAAAATAATAACAAATATGTTTCTCCCTCTGCAATGTAGTATTTTTTATGATTCTAGAATTCAATTTATTTGAAAATTCGAAAAAGATAGAGCTCATTGTTACACCATTATTGAACGAGGCCTAGAGTTGCCTAATGGGTGACAGTTAAAAAAAAAATATTAAAAAAGGCGGCTAGACAAAAACATTAAAAAAATCGGGGAGACTTCTCTTAATTGGTAGCATAACATAAAAAGTTATGAAAAATTCGGTGCTGGAATGCGCTATATTAGGAATGTTTTTTAAGATATAATTTAGGTAATTTCTCTTTTATTTGATACCCATATTGTTATCCTACATTGCACTGAGTTGCTTTAATCATTTTTGAATTTATCATATCCTTGAACTTTCAAAGTTCTTAAAAAAAAATCCCAACGTCAGAGAGAAAAACTAAAAATTTTTGTGTGAGTGAAATTGATTGTATGGTGTCTTCTTTTATAGACTACCGGTAAGGAGATAGTTACTTTAAAAAAAGGGTTTTGAAGGTATCGGAAATATTTTTTCCCGCGCTAAATAGCCAAGAATTGATTTTCAAGAAGCTACGGAAAAACTCGGACACGGTTGTAGTGGAATTATTTTATTTATTAAAAATTTTCAGCGAAAATGCTACAAATGCAGACTACAGAGCATAAGAAGGGTAAATTTAAAAATTGGAGCATTCAATTTAATAAAAAATAATGTTGCTGTCTTTTCAGGTTCTTGCCTGTTTCTATTTCACCTTAAATGAATTATTAAAGGGGATAATTACAAACTAAAAAAAAACCAGATTCTAATTATTACCAGTATGTATTGTTAAAGCAATTTTAAACTCAGTAATCGATTTTTAATGAATAACATGGAATAACTGCCTTATTCGCCCTTATAGTTACCCGTTTGTGAGCTTATGCAATGCAGATATGGGCCTTACAGGGTTAAGTTATTACCTCCGTTATATTAACTTTGTCTTTGCGCGCACTGCTACTCACCTGACTTTCCCAGATTATTAGCGATACTCTCCCAAGCGTTCATCTTCTCTCTATTACTGTTGAAAGAAGGATCGTTCGGATCATAAAGGCACCTATAGCTCTTAACTAGAAGACACAATTTATCTTTTCCCACTGTACTTTCCAATGTTGTACTGGGACCAGATGTGTTAGCGTTGCTGTTGGTGACGATGGTGATATTGTATATATTTCGATCCATTTTTCAAGTCACTGGAGTAGTCGTGATTTTTACAGTGTAGTAGCAGTATTTATACATACATAGGTCTACGGCGACAACAACCGACTGAAATTTGTACGTGCAAAATGACGGTGATTATCACTTGGAGATACATACATATGCAAGTCGGCGGTAAACATATCAGTCTTCTACGGCGACAGCAACCGGCTTAAAATTACGCGCGCAAATCACGGCGAAAATAACTCTCAACTACATATATATATTCATGCACTTAACTAATACTGCAGTGAGTGAATGCAATACAAATTCCGCGTGCCTTCTTGTTCTGAACACTACTAAAATCGAAATAATCATAAAATTTTCTATAGCTGGCGTTCAACAAGCTGGAGAGACGCCGACAGTTAAAATGTATTCTCACGCCGTTGACCGCTCCGAATCTCTGTTATGTTTTTCACTACAGAAAGCGCTTAGGTATTGAATTGCATATACAACTAAATTCTTTCTTAAGACGACTGAGGCGGTTATTGCTTATGACCACAGATATATATATATATATATATTTGCATCCTACTAACTAGCTTGCCTACTTTGTGAAATATCATTCAAATTCCAAATTTTGTATCAGATTTTTTTTTTCTATAAAAAAAGCGAAAGTACTACAGTCCAATACATATAAAATGTAAATTTTATAAAAAAACAAGTAAGAGCAGCGCTGTCTTCGGCTATGCCG